GCTGGCTGGCTGGCTTGCTTGCTTGCTGGCTGGCTGGCTGGCTTGCTGGCTTGCTGGCTTGGTTGCTTGCTTGCTTGCTTGGTTGCTTGCTTGCTTGTTTGCTTGCTTGCTTGCTGGCTGGCTGGCTGGCTGGCTTGATGGCTTGCTGGCTCGGTTGCTTGGTTGCTTGCTTGCTTGCTTGGTTGCTTGCTTGCTTGGTTGCTTGCTTGCTTGCTTGGTTGGTTGGTTGGTTGCTGGCTTGCTGGCTTGCTGGCTTGCTGGCTTGCTGGCTTGCTTGCTTGCTTGCTTGCTTGCTTGCTTGCTTGCTTGCTTGCTTGCTTGCTTGCTGGCTTGGTTGCTGGCTTGCTTGCTTGCTTGCTTGGTTGCTTGCTTGCTTGCTTGCTTGCTTGGTTGGTTGGTTGCTGGCTTGCTGGCTTGCTGGCTTGATGGCTTGATTGCTTGCTTGCTTGCTGGCTGCTGGGTTGCTGGCTTGCTGGCTTGGTTGCTGGCTTGCTTGCTTGCTTGCTTGCTTGGTTGCTTGGTTGCTGGCTTGCTGGCTTGCTGGCTTGCTTGGTTGGTTGCTTGGTTGGTTGCTTGGTTCTTGCTTGCTTGCTTGCTTGGTTGCTGGCTTGCTTGCTTGCTTGCTTGGTTGCTTGCTTGCTTGCTTGGTTGGTTGGTTGGTTGCTGGCTTGCTGGCTTGCTGGCTTGATGGCTTGATTGCTTGCTTGCTTGCTTGCTGGCTGCTGGGTTGCTGGCTTGCTGGCTTGCTGGCTTGGTTGCTGGCTTGCTTGCTTGCTTGCTTGCTTGCTTGGTTGGTTGCTGGCTTGCTGGCTTGCTGGCTTGCTGGCTGGCTGGCTGGCTGGGGTGGGTGGGTGGGTGGGTGTCGTTGGGTTGGGTTTGTCTGGTCACTTTCTTTGGCAAATAAGGCAAACCTTGCACCAACCGCCAAAGGCCACAAGTTTCTTGAAATGGAATCTGGATGGAATAAATGGGCCTATGGGCCCCCAACACAATTGGAACACTTAGGAAGGTTTCAGGATTTCAACACATTAGAGGAGGTCGTAGTTGAACGAGGGCGTTGTTTTGAAAACTCCAAGTTACCGTTCAAAGCAAAGAAATCTCCCAGTAAGAAGCATGATCCAATGCATGAAAAACAAACACAACAGGAGCAAAGCCAATGCATGAAAGACAAACCGAATGAGAACAACAAGCGTCAGCGGCTACACACCTTCCACCCCTCAAATCCCTTGCACCCGCCTCGAGGCACACCAGATCCATGTTGTTGTTGCTAAGATCAAACCATTCAAGAGTCTGATTCGTCTTCAGCATCTCAGACAAAGCCTGGGAGCTCAATTCATGAAGAAGTGATAGGCAAACGACCTGAAAAAGAACTCGACCTATTCCTTTAGCGAGAAGATGCCTTGCAAGTGCAAAACCTCTAATACGCAAACATGGAACTAACATTCTCAGCTCCCCCATCTGGCTGACTGATTTTCAAAATGCATACAAGAAATCTGCATGGAATTTACCGGCTACAACGACATGCCTTCAACTCTTGCAACAAGAGTTTGACCTCAAACCATTCTCAATGTTTGGTGCCTGGATTCCAGCTGAACCAATCTTGTTACCTCGAAGATGGAGTGATTGCACGTGTTGGTTCATTTTGAAGGCTTCGGCCAATACCTGGCAAACAGACCGCTCTCACGTTGATGGACAATGGCTGCAATGAGTTTTCAGACCCAGGGCTTAGGCAGGTTGGGATGGGTCAAACCAACGGTTCAAAAGAAACGGGTTAAACTGAACGGGTGTGACAATTTACCTGTGCCTCTAACACGTTGCTCGTAATGGTTAATGCATGTCAATGCAAAATACACGACATCCTCTGCAGCAAAAGGCTTTAGTCGGACCAGACTGTGCACACATCGCAAACATAGCACACTTATAGATGCAAGACTCTCAGGTTCCACCACAATCAGCCGAGTCTGGCCTCCGACCCTTCATCTGCAAAGTTGTTGTCGTCAAGACGTAAGTCTGAGACATGGGTGTCACTTCTCTTCAAATACTTAGCCACAGCCTGCATCCCGCGAGCAACTAGACTTGAATTCATAACAAAAACAGTGATGCTAGATGATGTTAGAAACAGCCAATAAGCTATGCCGTGAAAAGGACAACACATCTATCATGTAGCAGCACCCCTTTCCACGGTCTCACAACCCAAGTGCACGGGCTTGGCACCCTTCTGCGCAGGGAAGTGCTCTTCTCTTCATTTTGCACTCTCTCTCTCTCTCTTGATGGATATTCATGAATCATTATTCAGCTTTGGCCATGTGTTCCTTCTCTGTCACGTGCCTCAACAAAACTTAAACATTGTGTATGGTTGAGCATTTTGCCTTTCGAGCTTGGCGGTTTGTTCAGCAACCCAGTTGCCTCTGCTCCTTTAAGACCCAAGTCGTTGCCACACAACGCAAGAAGTAACAGGTCATTGTCGACAACGGCAAGCAGTAAGTCCTGGCACTGCGGAGAGAAAATTACCATGCCTGCAACTATGCGGCAACAAACAGCGGCAAGAACACAAGAACCGTGCATCTGCAAAATGACAAACTGTATAACCTCGAGCATGCCTTCATGAAAGATCATGAAAGTAATATGTACAGCAATGCTGGCAATGCAGTTGCTGCTGGCAATGCTGCAGGCAAAAAACTCATGTGACACCATCTTTTCTCAGCTCCCCAACGCTGGCTGGGTGATTTGCAACATGCATTCGATTGTCAGATCAGCAATCACAACTTAGGAGAAATCTGCATGAAGTTTTCCGGCTACAGTGACAAGCCTTCAAAGCTTGCAACAAGACGACCGAAAACCCTTCTCAATTTTTTGGTGCCTGGATCCCAGCTGAACCAATCTTGTTACCTCGAAGATGGAGATATCTCACGGATTGGTTCATTTTGAAGGCTTCGGCCAATACCTGGCAAACAGACCGCTCTCACATTGATGGACAATGGCTGCAACGAGTTTTCAGACCCAGGGCTTAGGCAGGTTGGGATGGGTCAAACCATACTGTGCAAACTTATCAACCAGACTGTGACACATCGCAAGCATAGTACACTTATAGATGCAAGACTGTCAGGTTCGTCCACAATCAGCCAAGTCCCTCATAGTGGCCTTCGACCCTTCATCTGCAAAGTTGTTGTCATCAAGGAGTAACTTTTCGACTTGGGTTGTATCTTTCTTCAAATACTCTGCCACAGCCTGAGGCTGCATCCCGAGAGCAACTAGACTTGAATTCAAGCCAAGCATGCTGCAAAAAGGAAACACATCTATCATGTAACAGCGCTATTTGTTGTTTCCTTTCTCTTGATTGATTGATATTAATGATTCATTATTTATTATATTCAGCTTTAGTCATGTGTTCCGTCTCTGTCACATGCCGCAACAAAACTTAAACAGTGTGTAATGATTCAGCATTTTGCCTTTCGAGTTTGATACTGAAAACATGTTTGCAGGCTCAACACACTCAAAGGTTTGTTCAGCAACTCACTGGCCTCTGCTCCTTTAAGACCCAAGTCATTGCCACACAATGCAAGAAATTGCAGGTCATTGTCGCCAAGGGCATGCAGTAAGGCCTGGCATCAAGGAGAAAAAGCGATGCCGGTAACTACGCGGCAACAAACGGCGGCAAGATGAACAATAACATATATAGATGTATGTATATTCTACACAATAAGTGTGCATTGTCAAAATGATAAACTGTATAGCCTCATCGATGCATCGACGCACGTTGAGCATACCTTCATGAAAGTTGTAATCACAGCAATGCTGGCAATGCTGTTGGTGGCAACGCTGCCATCAATGCTGCTGGTGGCAACGTTGCTGGCAATGCTGGCGCTGCTGCCGCTGCTGCTGGCAATGCTGCTGCTCGCGATGCTTCTGCTGGCAACGATGCTCCAGGCAATACAGCTCCTGGCAATGCTTCTGGCAATGCTGCTGCTGGCAATGCTGCTGCCTAAACCTCTTTAAGTTCCTTGGTAGCCTAGCGAGGTTTATGCAGTTGGTCAGTATTGATGTTTTCTTGCGAGTGACAGTCTTGCTCTGATGTACTTCTGATGAATGAAAATGATCATGAATAACGACTCAGTTGTCTGTGGAGAGTCCGTGTACATAGACCTCGTCCGTGTACAGCCATTTCTGCAAGCATTATTTCGTGCTTCCCCGTGCTTGTTCCTCTTCTTTTATGACTGTTGCTATTACTATGACTATTACTATTACTATTACTATTACTTTCCTTCTTCTTCTTCGTCTTCTTGTCGAGAATGGTCCGTGGATGCTTCAGTTCTCATGATCCGTGTTTTTTTGTGGCAGAAACCACTACCATGAAGACCACTTTACATCCTGCCTGTTGCTCCTGGCCTTTTGCAAGGTGCGCGGGTAGATTTCAGTCTTCTGTGAATGTGGTCTGATTTCAGTCACCTTTATAGGTCTTAGTCTTTGTCTTGGTCATGGCAGTCGCTTCAGAGGACTTGTCGTCCCGACCCTTCCTCACTCAGTGGCGATGCTTCCAGCCGACACATGGTTGTCACTCAGAGAGACCCGAAGCAACGGAGTCCCGCCATGGTTTGGTCGTTTTAAGTTGTCACCATAGTCACCATAGTCACCATAGTTGTATGTCACCAGCATACTACAGCATACAACTGTCACCATGGTTGTTTGGCATACTACATAACCAGTGGCACCATAGTTGTATGCTGTTGCATGTGTGCATATGACTTTGTGCTGGACTCTGTTTGCCTTGAAAGGAGAAAGGCGCATGTGTATGTGTGTGGGTGAGTGAGTGTTCTTTAATTTGTTGCCTGCTGTGTTCGTGGGTCCTGTTTCTGGCAAGAGCATAAGGATCCATGCAGCTACAGAAGACACTGCTTGCCTGGACCTCACAGGGTTTACGTGGGTTGTCGCATTGGTGTGAGTTTTGTGGTCTCTTGCCAGCCAGCAGCTGGCTGTCATATCTTATGTACAAAAGTCTGCCAAATTTCCGCTTGCACATCCACTCCAAGCATGCTCAGTGATTCAAACTGAAAGTTGCACGATAGCCTAAAACTCAAGCATTCGACCATTCACATATTGGTCTGCATATAGACTAACATTGGTTGCGTCATCGGGAAAAACAAACGCACACGTCGCATAACACGCTCCATGCAGCTCCGTGGCCTTCGTGCCCGCGGCTCGAATGTGATTGCCAGACATGTCAAGGTGGGTAATTGTTGTGTTTCTGATCAGGCCTTTGGCCAGATCCTCGGAAAAGACGCGGACAGCTGACGGATCTGGATTCATTCAGAGCCAAGGACTGGTGCACATCAAGTGTGCACGACTGGCATATAGGCTTACATCTTGCTAAAGCCAACTGAATAAGCCAGGCACCTTTGACCACTTCGATGAAATGTTATTTGAGTTCATCCTCAGCAATGAGCATTCATAGAGCAACAAGGAAAGCGAAACCATGCAAAACACCTCTTGAAATGTCAAAACCCTCCTGCTCTAAACCCTCCGGGCAAGCCAAGATTCTTGAGGATTTCGACCCCCTCCAGATGGAAAGCCGAGAAGATGGCCACTATGCCCTGAAGGCCCGCCAGCAAGCGAAGTTTGCAAAATCTCCAAATAGCTAAGTCGTGAGTTAGCTGAGTTTGGGTCAGTAACCCTATGAAAACACATCGCCTACCCAGAGTACCAAACTTCCCCGTCCCCTACACAGCTGCTCAAGCAAAGCTCCTCCTAAAAGTAGCCAGGCAGCTTCGAGGTGTGTACTCTGCTTGCCCTGGAGCTCTCCAACAATCTCCTTTTGCAGCGTTCTGTCGTGGGACTCTCTGGTTGGCACTGACATGGCACTATGCTGCGAACACGCTGCTCTCTACTCCCTTCTTCTCGGAAGCTGCAGTAATTCTCCGCAGCAATTGTTGGTTGTCTAGCTTGCCAAGAATGCAAGCAATCTGGGGGCAAGGGGTTGGATTACAAATGTGTGTGTGTGACCCACAGTTGAAGCAACAAACTAGGCTCGTGGTGCGCATCCTGTGCATTCGACAACAATGTGTTGGCTTGTCGTCACTTGTGTTCTATCTTTAGCACAGGATGTAACAATTAAGAATGCTATAACATACTGCCAGCCCGACCAGAAAGGAATAGGTGAAATGTAATCGGAAGGCCCTGACAATTTGGGGGTACTTGCCGTTTGCAGCAAACAATTCAGCCCAGCATCTAATTCCCCGTAGTGGGCGTTGTGAGGATTGCTTCTCATAGAATCGAAGCAGTCGAGGAGAATCCACCGAGATCTTGCCCAGGCTTCCTGGTCGAGGAGTGTGCTTTCTGTGCACACGAAAGAGTGTGTGTTTAACGCTCAAATTGACCACCTCTGAGTTTGCCCCAGTTTGGAATGACAAATAGGAAAGACATTCTTGGGTACCTTCTTTTAGGGCCCAGGGGTGGGTATAGCTCTAGCTAAAGTATCCTGAAGAGTGTCCAGACAGACCTGGGCAAAGTGTGCACAGCAATGTGAAAAATCTGCTCTAGGTGTGCTGTATTGATACCAGATTCATCCAGATTCCAGATGAAACAAGGCAAACACCTGCAGCCTAGTTTGAAACAACCCCCTCCGCTGTATCAACACTCCTTCCGAAACGTAACAATTTGTTCCCACCTCCCCTCTGCCCCCTTTGAATGATGTGTTCTTGCTGAATCACTGCATCCGAGCGTCGTGTACCCTTCTACCCTCATCAGACTCATCTAAGTCTGGAATGAAGCCGTTCAAACGCTTACCTAGGCAAATGAAAGTGTCACAAAAACAAAACACAGTCATGCCATATCATGCCACGTTCTTCTGAAAAGGAGAAAATCCCAGAATTCCAAAGGGGCACACAGTTGGTTCCTCGTTCAACGCTCAAAACACTCAAAACACTCCCTGAAATCGTAAGGCCTCTGTCATCCCAGGAATTGGTACAGTTTTCATCGGTCTTTTTTTCTTGCCAAAGAAATTGACTAACCCAGTAGCTGTGAGGACAAATCTCACGAAATAGCCCGGATTCGGAGTCCAATTCTGCCTGACCACGTTCAATTGTGGCTATGGACTGCAGTTGTCAATACCTTCAAAACACAAACTCTTGATGGAGGCTTATGCAACCTTACGCCTACATTGCCAAACTCAGGTCCTTCTCCTTTTTGGAACCAAGCTTTAACAAGATGCTCGGAAAATTGATGGGCCCTGGGCATGGCATGCAGCGCCTCATGAGGCATGAATTGTGGGAATACAACTGAATTGACTGAATTGGTGACTCAGAACAAGGAAGATTTCTCGACCAACAGTCAGCCGTGCAAAAGAAGGCGAAGGTGGAATACGCTTGTTTGTAGAAAAACTGTTCAACGCATTTGACTAAGGGTATGTAGCAGAAACCAACAAAACAAGGTCAGTACAAGGGCTCACTCCCTTGCGCTGCGTAAACGGGCGTGGGAAGCCGGTGTGTGAACCCTTTTTTTGCGCGCGCTCGCATACCGCGTGCCATGCGCATCTTGTCAGCTGGGAAATCTGTCTGGTTCATCCTGTAAGCTGGCTCTGGATGTCCAACCTCTCAGGCTGACTTCTTGGGACGGCAGAGAACTTTATCATTTGATTCGAATGACCAATAGCTAACCTTGTTACCTACTAGTAAGGCACTTGTTACTAGTAGCGATGCACTTGTTACTAGTAGCTTATTGTTTCTACTTTTGCCTCAAGAAAGTGCTCCCAGCTTTCTCCAATCCCCAGGACTCGAAGGACGAGGAAGGACCTCCCGTGTACCTCCAGACATAACGACCATATCGACGTCGAAACGGAACGCGTCGGAGGGCCTCGGTCCTCAGCCGGTGGAATTCCACCAAGTCTGATTCTTGGAAAGCAATGTCGATCTGCTCGGCAAACTTGGCCACAATGAGGCGCTGGACAGGATGGAAGAGAGCCTGAGGACGGTTGGCGCAGTTGGCCAGCCATGCTGCTGGCCGCTCAGATAGCAACCCATGGTCGCGGTTTGGAGGACGAAGATATCTTGAGAACATATCCACAGCGTTGGCCATGATTGGCTTGGGACGTCGCCCTTTGTTTGTGAAGCCCAATGTGTCTAAGAAGTTAGACGCACCAATTTTTCCCAAGAAGCTATATATGGGGCAGCCTTTTTGGCTAGTAGAGTCTCAGGTCCATTCCAGCAGGGTCGCACTCACGTAGCTGGTGGTGCCACAGACCTCTAATTTGCTGCTTGGACACCAAAGTGCAAATGATTTGGACCGTGGGCACGGCCAAGTTCAGGAGCGCAACCATGACACTGCCACCAACCACTTCCAGGTAAATACATGCCATAACCTCATTTGGAAAGGTTTATCTGCGCAAAGAAACGGCACCTTTCAACCTGAACAGGTGCAGCTTTTTTAGCTTCTCCACCGCAAAAACGATCAGCAAAGATTGCGACAGTACAGCTCAGCGCGCAAATGGCGACAACAGGATAAGTTCACCACCCGACAAGAGCGCCCATTCCGTAAAACATGGTCATGCGTTCATCGCGCGATTCATTCAGACTTGTACTACGCCTTTCTGGCAGGCAGATAAGGTCAAGAATTGCTGAATCCCCCCGCACCCCGCTAATTCAACGCGCCGGTCAAAATGTCTGGCACGCAATGTACTGACATGAATGGCTGCGTTTCCTCCACCTGTCAGACAAGGGTCTTAAGATTTTGCATCCTCCCCACCTCCTCCTTCCTCCTTCCCATCTTGCGCTGCGCCGCCTCCGAAGACGCCATTGTCACCCGCGCCTCTGCGGTTGGACTGCAACCTAAACCCACTTAGCTACAGCAATCAGATGATTTTGCTACACTCATACTACATGCTACTTCCGGAATCAGCAAAGACGCCAACCAACAAAAGCAAACCAAAACAAACAAACAAACAAACAAACAGACAGACAGTGGACAGACAGACAGACAGACAGAGTGTGGTTTACCTGTACCTTTGCCCGGTCTCGAACACGTGCCAGAACCTATTATACCAGAACATGCATCAGACTACAGAACACGTGTAGTGTCCCTACAAGACATTGATGCCAGAATCTGGACGCAGAGCGTTTGTAACCAAACATGTGGAGTGTTGTTGGTTGGATTTCTGTCGTGTGCTGACATGACTGGCTATTTTTTGCCCATGGCCCATGGCTGCCAAAATCAAAAGCCGCCATTGAATACTGGATGGAACGTTGAAATGGAACCATTCTTGCGATGGCTAGATAGGGTTTTGAAGAACCCGGAGAGGCATTCAGTTCTGAAACGTTCAACCCTGCCCAGGTTCCCAAAAAGAATCTGACGCGTGAAGCGCTGAAATCTGAGGCAAAGGGCTCCTTGCGGCAAATTCCTCGAGCGAAAGCTGCAGAAGCTTCTTAAAAGCAAGCTTCCACTTCTCTGCTGGTCTCTTTACGTGAACCCAATTCTCCACTGGTTTCTTTACGTGAATCAACACGCAAGAATACTGCAGCCCAGGTTCTCCCACAGGAGCATCTTTCCTTGGTGTCCGAAGAAACGAAGCGCGTGACATGTTAACAGTGAGTCAGTACCTTGGCCTGAACATAAAGTTGGCAAAACATCTTTTCGTGTTTACCATCGATGTCTTGCCTCGTCTGTCTGCAGATGTCTTGCGTCGTTGTCTTCGTCGTCTCGGGTGTCTGGTTCCCTTCATGAATTTCACCCTTGGTGGAGGTCGTGGCATGATCTTGGCAACTACGCCGTGCCTGTACTGATTTGCCACATATTTTTGCTGTTTGGGGTTGATGCTGGTGTACATCTTCGTGGGATTGGGCCCGACCCGACCCCATGCCTGCACCGACCAACCTCAATTGCCAAGTTTCTCTTTAAAGGTGTGAGTTGCTTGTAAATGTACTGCAGGATCTCTGCACTCCTTGAATTGCAGGCGATGTGTCGATTTCAGAGTGCTCAGAAACCGATTCCAATCCATCAACCTCAGGTCCTCAGGTCTAAGTCTATATTCAACGGGGTGAGAACACAAAGACACAAAGCTGAAAGCAAAGGAGAAAGCAATTATATAAAGGGCTGGATGACCCCACATGTGAAGCTTTTGTATCTATAACAAGGAATGATAGCGGACGAGTGTACGAAAATGATGAAGGAAGATGTCAGTACGACAGTGGAGTATGAGTGCGCCGTGAGCGTGCGCCTGTGCCAGTGAGTCAGTGAGTCAGTGAGTCAGTGAGTGAGTGAGTCAGTGAGTCAGTGAGTCAGTGAGTGAGTGAGTGAGTCAGTCAGTCAGTCAGTGAGTGAGTGAGTGAGTCAGTGAGTGAGTGAGTGAGTGAGTGAATGAGTGAGTGAGTGAGTCAGCGAGTGAGTCAGTGAGTGAGTGAGTGAGTGAGTGAGTGAGTCAGTCAGTCAGTCAGTCAGTCAGTCAGTGAGTCAGTGAGTGAGTGAGTGAGGGAGTGAGCGAGTGAGTGAGTGAGTGAGTCAGCGAGTGAGTCAGCGAGTGAGTCAGTGAGTCAGAGTCAGTGAGTCAGAGTCAGAGTCAGAGTCAGTGAGTCAGAGTCAGAGTCAGAGTCAGAGTCAGAGTCAGAGTCAGTCAGTCAGTCAGTGAGTGAGTGAGTGAGTGAGCGAGGGAGGGAGGGAGGGAAGTGAGAGTGAGAGTGAGAGTGAGAGTGAGAGTGAGAGAGTGAGAGAGTGAGAGAGTGAGAGAGTGAGAGTGAGAGAGTGAGAGTGAGAGAGTGAGAGAGTGAGAGAGTGAGAGAGAGAGTGTGAGAGAGTGTGAGAGTGTGAGAGAGTGTGAGAGAGTGTGAGTGAGTGTGAGTGAGTGTGAGTGAGTGAGAGTGTGAGTGTGAGTGTGAGTGTGAGTGTGAGTGTGAGTGTGTGTGAGTGTGAGTGTGAGGGAAGGAGGGAGGGAGGGAGGGAGGGAGTGAGTGAGTGAGTGAGTGAGTGAGTCAGTACTAAGTGAGTGAGTGACACTGAGTGAGAGTGAGAGTGGGCGGGGCGGACTGCGGAAGACGGGACAGAGATAACAGTAAGAACTGGACACAAAGATGTGGGGAACAATTTTTTTTAAGATCCTGAATTAAATGTCAAGATGCAAGCCCGCGGCCCATTCCATCCAAGAAACCTGCAGCAGAAATCAGAAGTTCTTTCGGAACTGCGAACTCATGCCAAAGTACCTGACTAGTCATCACTATATAACTATATAGTTGTGATCAGTGGTCACCAAACAAAAAAGACGTTTATGCACCCACACGCTTTAGTCACAGCAGGCGACAAGATCACATGAGGGTCAGTTCATGAACAAATTCACTGTTTGCACTTTTGTGCAACATGTGAGGGGAATGCAGCCTGGATCGAACTCGTTAGACATCTGCACCATTCCTCCATGACCGACTCCGCAGTGTTGTTTGTATTTGTTTGTCGCATTTGGGGCAGGGTCTCAAAATGTTTTGGCGCCATGAGAACATCAATCGCATCCAAACGCTTTAATAGGTACAAGGTATGAGAAAAGAACGGTTTGTTCTCCAACGGTGTGACTTTTGCGACGACGCCGTCGTCGAATGATCTGGGACAGATTCCGACAACTCAGCACATTCCAAGAAGAAGAGAGGTGCCTCAATCGAAGGTGTCTTTTTGAGGCTTGACCCTCTCGTGCAAAGTATAAAGTGTGATCAAATGAACTTGGGACAGCAGGTATTTGCAGGACCCTTTGCAAGATCAAGAAAGTTCATATCACACCCAAAGCCTAAAGCTAAACGAGGAAGAGCAATGAAGAGCGTGTGTTTTCGTTGCCACGTTGCCACAGGTTGTCTTCCATGCAGCTGTGTGTCTTCTTCGCCAACCCCATCGTGAGCATCTACCCTTCTACCCTCCATGAACTCGTTGCATCATTGTTCCAGACCCCATGATTGGCCCCATGATCCAACATGTGATTCAATTCAGTGGTCATGAAAGAAGCGCTCTTCCACGATGGGTGTGAACCCCTGGAAAAGCCAGTGAACTTGCTGCCAGCCTCTTTTCCCACCGCCCTCCCGGGGCTTAAATGTTCAAGACCGCCCAGCATTCCTCCACCCTCCCAGCATTCCTTGCATTCCTTCCAAAAGGATCGGTCGAGAGTTCCTGGTAGGAAGGAAGGAAAAGAAAATGAAAGAAAACTCATGGAAGGTGTCACGCTTAAAGGCGCCGCAAGCAAGAAAATGGATCTTCTTGCCTCACGCACGAAGGGGTTGGAGGTGGAGGACGCAGCTCCTCCCCCCCAAGAATACACAGAACACCTCCGACCAAGAATCTGACCAGGGCGCAAAGAACCTTCAATTAAGACGAAAAAATGAAAAACAAACAAAGGCAGGGCAGGAAGAATAACAGTCCTCTGCACGTGAAGGCTTTCCAACCTGTCAATAAACCTGTGAGATTTCTCTCTCACACACTGCCTCGCCTGGTAGACGAAGACCACAGGAAACTCGTCGACATTGGGCTCTCTGGTCAGCTTTACCGGCTCACTGTCGGCAACGAATGGGATCCTCTTGCCATTTCGCGTGCAGAGATAGTACGAAGTGGGACTTTTGTCCGCCATGAATTCTTTCACGTCAGCTGCCAAATGATCTGAGTATTGGACCTGACAGGCTGCTGCAACTTGCAGGAACCGTGAAGTTTGTAATCTTGCAAGATCAGGCATCAACAAAGTCAGCCAGGGCCCAAAAAACCTTAACATGGAAGAAACATGGAGCCGATTTGGTCATGTAACCGAGACCTTCCGACCCATCAACACAGGCTCGATTCTGTCACGCGCTGCCTCGCCTGGCACACAAGTTCAATAGGAAAGTCGGCATCGTCGACTCGGGTGGTTTTGGTCAGCTCTCCCGGCGCACCGTCGGCAACAAATGGGATCGTCTTGCCAGCTTTTGTGCAGAGAAAGTACGAAGTGGGCTTTTTGTCCGCCATCATCTTTGCCACTTCATCTGGCCAGTTTTCTGAATATGGGATCTGACAGGCGGCAGGGACATGCAGAAACAGTGAAGTGTGTGATCTTGCAAGATCAGGCATCAACAAAGTCAGCCAAGGCCTAAAATCCACAACGCGGAAGAAACATGTTGGCTGATTGGTAAAGCAAGACACAACGCGACAGTGCCTCCGTGTGTGAGGCGCTATCTTGATTCAAAGCTTCACCCTTACACAAACATATGGATTCAATGAGACTGCCACAGCTCATGGATTTTGAAACATAATGTCCACCTCCTATTAATAAACCCACCCCTCCCTCTTGATCAAGTGCGGGCCCTAAATAATGTAAAATCCAGAAAAAATCCTAGAAAATATTGATTTGAATTGGACATGAAAGGAGAGAAAAGGAAATTAAAGGAAGGGAAAGGAAATGAAAGGAAAAGGAAAGGAAAGGAAAGGAAATTGAAAGGACAATGAAAGGAAAGGAAATGACAGGAATCAATGTAAGTAGTGCCAAAGGAATTGTAAAGAGGCTGAACCTAAATAACCATAGCCCTCAATGAAGCTAAAACTGTTCAACCAAACGGAAACCTAAAGGAATTGTAAAGGAAACCCCGAAAAGGACCAGCCAGGGATTGTTTAGTATTATTTGAGGTCTGGAGTAATTGAAGGTTTGAGCTGCTTGTGGGGGTGGTCTTTGTGGGTTGATTTCAGGTTGCAAATTGCAATGCCCAAATAAGCAATGTTAAAAGGAAAATGCAGCAGCCAAATCAGAAATCCAGAAAGGATTGCCTTAAGTAAAGCTAAAGCTTTTCAACCAAAAGGAATATCTAAAGGCATTGTAACGAAAATCGCCAAAAGAACCAGCCAGGGATTGTTTAGTATTGTTTGAGGTCTGGAGTAATTGAAGGTTTGGGCTGCTCGTGAGGGGTGGTCTTTGTGGGTTGATTTCAGGTTACAAATGGCAATGCCCAAATCAGCAAGTTTAAATGGAAAATGCAGCAGCCAAATCAGAAATCCAGAAAGGATGCCCTTCAATAAAGCTAAAGCTTTTCAACCAAAAGGAAATCTAACAGAATTGCAAAGGAAACCACCAAATAATCAGATTATGGAATCAGTTGAAAGCTCAGAATCAGCTTGGATGAATCAAGGTCTGGAAGCAGCTGAAAATCAGGGTCCAGAAAAAATTAGTATTAGTTGAGGGCAATTAATTATTATGAGGTCAACATTATGCCCAAAATCACGGAAGCTGTCTCTGTGTTCCTGCTCTATCCCAGCCCCCACCAACCCTTCCACATACCGGTCCAACAAGGGTACAAATGGCTTCCACCATCTCTGCACCAACATCAGGGGACAGAAGCGTCAACTCCAAATCATCGCTGTACACGGCAGTTAGTGTATAGGTGAGAATCCAAGGACCAGGTACAGGTATGCTTTCGGAAACATGAGCGAAGTTGCGTGGAGTAGCAGCTACACAAAATATGAAACTCTTGTATCAGAACCTGCAGACCAAAATAGATACAATCTACATGAAAAATCCGATGCAACATCCAGTCTTTTTCTTTGACAGATGGTAATTATGGCTGCAAAATCCTGGCTAAGTGGTGGGACTAAAGTTGGTGAAGATACCAAAACTTGAGATTCGCAAAGCACACACTGAACATGTTTTTTACGCCCAACTTGTCCGTTGCCTTTAAAGGGTTTGGCGAATCATCGGCATCGGCCGGCAGCGTTCGCAAAGCCAATCTGGCAGGGCATTCATATGATGTCATACTAATGACCAGCAAATCTAGCCTAGCTGCCAAAAAAGTACAACGCTAGAAACAATGACAAGCAACACTGAGACGTGGTTCTCGGCGAACCACTGGCGGAAAGCTTGGTCCCGGAAGAGAATTGCGTGAAACCTCCGCTGCAACAGCATGAACAGGGCAAGTGTGAGGATTTCCCGGTGATTTCCACAAGCTCCAACGTCATATATGCACAGGCAGCTCTCTTGAACGGACTTTTGGCATGACCTGCAACCCTTGCCCAATACAACTGTTTCATGATTCTCAAGTCAGATCCAGTGGAGGAGATTCCACCCTGTACCAAGTTAATAGTCCTTTAAACTAATCAGGAAAACTTGAATGGGAAAGCAAAGGTGGATGCATCAGATTCTTAACGCTATCCTGCATGGAACACAAAAGGAAAGCCTGACACGAACCATCATCCTTCTGAAGTATTGAACATATTCAAGCAGTTTACTCTTCATATTAAAGACTATCAAGTATACTGATAATCTGGTACAGTCTGGCAACAAAGCAGGATCTGAAGCAACTGTATGCGAAGGAATGTGTGAACGGTACAGGGCCGGGCGCTGCGTGTTGCGAAGGCTAAGCGGCTATGCCCACAGCAACACACCCGTGGTGAGTTGGTACACCAACCATCGTTTTACAATGTGGCTGGCCGGCTTGTTTGAGCCCCATGTCGGTTGCCGTCTTTACGCCGGCAATGCAAAAAAAATGATATTGTTTTACAGGCTAACATCATTTTGATTACAAACAAGCTAACGTGTTGTCCTCCATCAGACCCGAGGTACATGAGCAGCCAAAGCAGTGATATCAAGCCGACCGCATTCACAATGAGGTTGTCGGCAGCGAAGCAAAGGAACCCGAAGCTCACGTCTTTCCTCGTCTGCGTCATAGTCCTTCAACAGTTAGCGCCTTTTTCTGAATCGGAACATCCCTTGTATGGGAGGTTACAGGAGGGGACCTTCAAAAGAGGTTGCCTGAATCAAAGCGACAAGCCACAACGTATCAAAGGCATCTGAGGTTACAGGGCAAATACCAAGGAAGGTCGCTTCCAAGAAGGCAGTGTTTGCATAGCGTCTTCCAGGCGGCAACATGTACGCCGCAAGGGCAGCCTGGCGGTTCCGTGTGTGGCGTCTCAACTTGGAAACCCCGTGTGTAGCGTTTATGGCGAGTACTTTTCAAACACTACATCTCTGACACTATACATGGCTGTGCAGCGTGGTTCGCATGTGCACAAGCCAACTTGGCGGATGAAGAGAACATAAACGTTGTCTTCTCCAAATTGGCGAGCAATTAACATCAATGTACATGTTGCTGGTATAGCCAATAGTTAGATGTTGCTTCACATCACAAGCTTTGCTTAGAGGCTATAGCGTCCATTAGCGTGGATCAGCATACTGTCAAGGTCTCCAAGCTCTCTCGATGAATTCGGACAGCTCTACTTATATTATGTATATTTGTGTGCTCTTAATGCTCAAATGCCCAGTAGAACCCTCTCGCTTTCGAGCAAATCTTATCTTTGGATACTTTTTGGATGGGTGGCTGGACGCTTATATTGGCCCCTCTGCGTCTGTGAACTGAGCTCTCCCCAGGCCCAGTGGCCCTGAAGGCACACAAAAATGCTGCGTATACCCGTATACCTCATGGATGGTGAAATTGAAGGTGCAAATCGGATACTGCAAAATGGAGATTCAAGCCACATGGCATAAAGGTCAGGAAATCCGTCACTCCTAGGTCTACCTGCCTGCGCAAGCATCCAAAGACATCCACATGCAAAATGCACCGTGTAGAATTCCCAAGCTAGCCCGAGCTCCGGGCTCAATAGCCCCGTCAACGTGCTGCCGACGCCTGCCTGAGCGTTTCGAACTTCCTCTCTGTTTCGGTCATAGCCGGAGTCACAGTTTTGTGGCGGAACGGCCCTTTTTTTCAGTTCAAGTCAACTGTGAGTCAGGTCGTGTTGATGCTAGGTGATGCTGCGAAAAAAGATCGATTGACAATTAAGACCATACTTTAGTCCGGTTCCCGCACGCATTTTCACGCATTCAAAAAGGCCACGGGTCACGCACGCCATTCCACCAACTGAGGCACCGCCAGGCACAAGAGAAAATTGCAGCAATACACGCCCACCACAAAGGCTTTCTGGTACTGCAAGCTGATGGGTAGTTGTAGAAGGTCAGGTTCTTTAGCTTCGTCGTCGGGGTCCTTGGTGCTGGCTGTGGCACAAATGGGAGATTGAAGCAAAACAGTTGTTTGCAGGCTTGCCTTGTGAGCTTGGAAGAGCACCAAGCTGTGTGCACACATCACGAAATCAATACAGTTATATATTCCCTTCAAACAAGAACTCTCAAAGTGGTTCCTCTTGCTGTAAACTGGTTAGAAGCTCTGCTACCCAGATACTGGCACCTCCTCCTCTACGCGCACCGCCATCTCATCCTCGCTCGTTTTCGATGACAGGCTGTCTTTCCTTGATGTTCTCTTTCGCTTTGGTACTGCTTTGGCTTTGCCAGCACAGAATAGCATCAAGGTCCCCAAAGCAGTGGTGATCCTTGCTCACACACATGCCCAACATGCCCACATGCCATCGTTTCTGGTCCAAAGCGATCACGTCTACAACATTCCTCTTGCCTTTACGTCGGTCTATGGCCTTCCGAGGACTGGCTTAAACATGTGCCAACCTCAACCAACATCTGCGCCGATCCTATCAAAAATGTAAAATGGTTCAAAAATACCTGCCTTAGGAACCGCAAAATGTGGGATACCGCGAAACCGAACATTTGTCACTGAGCAAAGCATGGCGGCAGTTGAATCAGCCAAGTCGGTGTCTTCTTTGCTTCCCTGCTGTTATTTTTTGCCACCGCTTGCAAGCCAAGTGGCAAGTACATACAAACCATCACTGCCACATGCCTCGCTGCGAGGCATTGGGGGACAAGCATGGACAAGCTGACAAGTTGTGCAAAGCAGTCCATCTGCCAAAAGCAGCAGAATCACAACTGCTTGCCTTCTGCACTGATTCTGCCGGGGCCAAAGGACTGAACTAAACTTAAGTTTGCCAAGTTTCAGTCTCTAGTGCTAGATTCATGTATCATGGCTACAGATACAACCTACAACCAGCCACGAAGTCAGTGCAACCTAGCAACAAGACTGTCAAATTCCCATGCTGCCATGCCATCCAATTGCCCTAGAACTGTCATTCTTTCTCTCGCCAAGGCACAGAATGCTTCTCTCCATCGCCTGCGCCACCGCGTCTTCTACCGGGCCGGTCCGCGTTGGCACAAACTGCAGGGCAAGGTCGAAGGCGAGGGTGTTGTTGATGTCGTTCTCCATGGAGCGCCGACGACCAGGCACGCCGCGACGCGACGCGATCCGGGGGCGAGGCGAGGTGACCGGCGAGCCAAGGCTCCTTGAGCCAAGAAAAATGTGGTGCGCAAGGGAACGAGGCGTGCCTTCGCACGAAGCTCTCAAGCTTGCGGTCAGAAACTGTGGTCACACCAAGAAGGTGATCTGTTGGCCTATGGCATTTCGGATCCCGCCCTGTTTGCTTTCCCGTGAACCCACATCAAAATCAGGTTTTTTTCAATGAGATGTCTGATATGCCTGCATCAAACACTTTCGCTTTGCAACGCAGCTCTGCAACCGGGAGCAAAGCACAAAGCCTTTAAAGTTTTGCCTGTCAAACAGTCCGTCCCACTCAGCCCTGTAAGAAGCCGATCGCGTGAAGTGTCTCCTCCCCACAGTCTGTCTCTTCGCGAGCAAAGCCAACAATAAGGCAAAACACCCAAGTGAGACCAGCACCCCCCCTCCTCCCACTCTTTCCAATCCCTGCTGCGCAGCCCAGATATCCCGAGATACTTCTCTCCAGCCCAAGTTCTTCGCAACCTTCCTCACACTTCCCCTTCTTTCCCACCAGCCATGTCTCATCCATCTCTTCTGGATCGTCTTTGCTCACCTCTTCCTTCTCTCCTTCTCTGCAGCTCGCGCTCCTCAAACATTCTACCCAGCTTCTGTTTGGCAACTCTTCTCTCAAGTCCCTTCTCAACATCCTCTGTTCCCCTAGTCATCTCCGAAGCCGCGGGCCTCGGAATTAGCTCCTTTTCTCTATCCCTTCCAATGCTCCACAGCCCCTGCTCTTCAGTCCGTGTGTGGAGCTCGCCCACATTTTCTTCCAAGTTTCACAGGAGCAATGTACTGAGCACTCGTTGGGTTTTCCAAGCGAGCCCAATTATCACCGCCCAACGGCGGCAGGTGGCTGCACAGAGTGTATGCATCTACAAGCCATTGGCCAGAACTTGTTGGGCTCGTTCTTTCATTGACTCATGGTTCTGTCGAATTGAGGTTTGAGCTCTTTCAACAGCTTTGCATTCATTTTGTTCACCTTCTTGTAGAGGCAAAACGATACTTCCATTGCTGTCAGGTCTCCAGTTCTTGGCTCTTCTTGCTTGCAGATGCAAATCAATTGTCACTTCTTCACATCCAGCTCAATCAGACCTGAGGCACAAATGGATATCCAAATCAACTTCTGTAACGGGCGAAGGTGGCCCCCTTTTTGAGATGAGTTCCTATTTGCGGAATTGCAGAATGGATGAGTCTCGATGCATTGAAAGACCTGGAAGGTGGTGTAGATTTTGCACCAATGTGTTGTTATCCTATGCTATGTTTATGTCCTATGTTTATATGCACCAATGTGTTGTCCTATATCATCTATGCTCATCTATATTTATGTCCTGTGTGATCTATGTGGTCTTGTGGAGGATAAATTCTCTTCGAGAAGCGATGCGTGTAGCAAGGAATGGGTCATCCCAAGCACAACTGGCACGTATCACGACCTTGCAAATAATTCTCCTCCAAAACTGGCTCTATGATCTCTATGTCAAGTGTCTGCTCTGCTGTTCAACCTGAATGGAGGTCAACTGGGGTTCATCTTGTATTGGCAGCTAGCAACTAGTCACTGGGCAGTTCCAGCCCTCAACAGGGAGCTAGTTGCCACATTCTCTTGCATCTAAATTGCGAAGCGCTCCAGTTTGTTTGGGCTGTTCTATGTGTGTTGGGAGCATCAAAATGCAGATGTTGGGAAGCAAATCCATGTCCTTCGACCACCTCCACCTCCAGCCGAGCCAAGCAAGAGGGGTCGCTTTGATAAGCAAGACAAACACGGGCCGTTTACAAGAACAAAAAACAGCTGACCAGTCCGTTGATAACAAGAAGAAGAAAACGAAACGACTGACCAAACCAGTGAAGAAGAAGAAGAAACAACTGACTTGTGGTGCCCTTGGATTAGTGAGGAGAACTACTAGCCGTTTCTGCCAATTAAACAAAGTTTAAACGTTGAGGGTGTCTATGCATTCATCCACTTTTCTTGTCTCAGTCTTCAAGTTCAACATCAATTTTTTGTGCCCTGGGTGAGCCTTTCCCTCTGCTTTCATCATTGAACGTGACGGGGGCTTCATAATCTTCATGGCGTAGAGCTGCTGTGGTGCAACTTCCTTCACCTTCCCAAAACCCCGATAGTGTAAGGCATAGAACAGCTCTGTGGCGCTTCCATCCATGCCGAAATCCGAAGATGGGATCCTACAACTCCTCTGCCGCAGAAACAACCAACATGAGTTCTGCGGTGTGTATAGGATTATGGCCATGTCCAGTGGACATACAAAACATCAAAAACAACTTTCGAGGAGTGGGGTCTGGGATTGGATTCGGTGGAAGGAATTATCCTATGAAGTCTATAACCCATTGTGGTCGTCAAAATCACCCGTTGGGGTCGTCCATCCAGATCCCAGGCACACCTCATGAAGATCGAGTCCAGTGTGGTCGACCCAAGCTGGGATGATTCCACAGCATCGAGGGTCCCTGGACGCGACGCTTCGACTTCACTCGTTCCTGCGACCAGTTTGGAAGGACAGGATGTGGCCAAAGAAACACATGTTTATATCAACCGTAGCAGTCCCTTCCCACAAACACACGCTTTGGTGGATAGAACCTTTGGGGAGAATTTCCAAACATTCAGAGATCGTTCATATGTAAGACCTTACCCTAATAAAGGTAAACAAAGACCTGTTTTGGTCAGAGCATGTGTTGAGACGGGCTCTGATGGCTTGGATCACCAAACGCACCATGAAACCCAGAACCAGTTTAATGCCAAGTTACCTTGTAACCTATCATATATATATGTATAATATATATATATACTGATACTGAAAAGACTACCTGCCTATCGTTCAGGGAAAGTCTGCGCAAATGGCAGCAGTTCCAGAGCTTTTCTAAAATGTACTCCTCATGTCCAGGTTTGAAGCTCTTCATGATGCTTCTGCAAAAAGAAAAAACCGTTCCTTCCACCAATTGAACTACGGAAAACACCCCTATCCTATAATTGAAAACAAATAAATCGTCAAATAGGCCAATAGGCATGTGTTTGCCTTCAATCAACTTGCCGTATCAAATCTATCTAGCCATCCATCTACACTATACCCCATCTCCATGGCATGGGTCTCTCTCAGCTCCGGTTCAGTAGACAGGGACTGAACTTGAGTGAAAACACCGCGGCAAAATCTGAAAACTTCAAACTGAGAAGCTCCTGGGTAGTTTGGCTAGTTACCAACTCATGAGGCCACATGTCTCGCAAAAAGCAAAAACCTCTTCACTTTCCAGCAGCCCGATTTTGGATCCGCTTTGCTCACAGAAATCAGGTCAGGAAAAGGGGCATCCTCCGGCACTTGGCACTGTTGCGAACTTACCTGCAGGAGTTGGAGTCTCAAGAGTCTTTAGCTGCAAAATAATTACGGTGTTTTGATTTGCAAGCAATTTACATAATTGTTATTTTCGTTGTTTTCCAACAAATTCTGTGAATCTCAAGCTTCTGAAAGCCTGTAAGTTCTCTGTTAACTTCAGTAACACCAAGCCAAGCCAAGCAGCTGCGCCCGAAGCGATAGATGTTAGAAGCCTGGCAAGTTGGCGTTGCGATTTCCCTGAGGAGTGTCCAGTGGTCATGAAAAAACATTTCACAAATTAAGCAGAATCATTTGCTGAATAACTATTACAGCAAGGCAGGCTTATCATAGAGCACTTTGCCAAGTCTTTGGCGCGGCGGGGTCAAAATGTAGAAGAAACCTAAGTGTGACACTCCACTCAGTGTAGAGAAAAAAAGGTCCGAATGCAAAACAGATTGATGCGTGTTCGATTTGTTCACGTGTCAAGTACGTCTAAAGTTGCGTATAGCGGACCAACATGGGCCGACTATGACGGTTTCGCGCGAGATATTTTGACCGCGAATAATCACGCATATCCAACTCTAATCTCAGTCCGGTACGCAGTAGTCAAGCTATGGATAACCTCCCTCTACTTCTTCCCATATATATATACAGTTTATATATATATATATATGTGTTGAAATTGCCACCTGTCACAAGTAATTAAATAGTGCCAGTAAGATTGTTTGTCTCATCTCTCCTTGAGCGCTTGGGCTTTACATCTGCGATTTCAGTGTGAAGATGGTGCCTACATGCCACAAAATCCTACAAGCAATTCAGAAATTGATCACCACAACAGAAATGCAGAATCTGCTTCCCCCCATGATGTACATCTTGCATACTGATGAACTGGCACTATCCCAGTCAATTGCTGTCAATTGGGCCTTCGATTCTCAAAGAAGTCCAAGAACTTCGTGGAGGCGGCCATGATAACTCCCACCTTCAGCTGAGACTAATCCTATGCCACGGTTTCTGTTTTTCAGATCGAAGATGTGTGGTGCTCAAACAGCTGGCGCGTGGTCTATTTCTTTTTGCAGACTTTGCCGGAAGCCTCCTCTTCATCCTCTTCGCACGTGAAATATATATATACCAGGAAACAGTGAAGGCCTCATTCGCCAATTCCTTGATGATTTGTCTTCAAATATGGATTGATCTGCCTACATGGAATTGACTCGTCGCGGTTTCGGCGGGCAATTTGTGCAAGGCTTTGCAAGGTCGCCTTCTCGTTCAAGTTTGCACGGATGTTTGCATTCATCAGAGCAAAGCCCAGGGCCCTGATATCATCTACCCAATCCCCCACCCGTTCTTGCGGTCTGAGTACCTTGAGTTCAGCAATCCGTTGCCTCCATGTCTCTTTGTCTGACACAAGTGGAGAGATCCGAAAGTTGTTAGGGCCAGCTTCAGAACGATTCAACCTCTCAACCTCCACTTCTCCTTGAATATCTGATCTGGGCTGGAGTTGCTTCCTCTGATCATGTTCCCAGACATCATAATAGTTGTTTCGCCTTTTCCGCCAATCATCTCCACCTTCATGACGTCTAAATGCCGTGTGGGTGAGTTGATCACCCCTACGACCCCAGATTGGACAGTCATCCGGGATACGGTAGGTGTTGAAGTTGAGATAGTAGCAATGGCGTGCGCACTCACGCGCTTGATGCAACCAGAAATCTACCATCACATGACGGTTGCCCAAACTAAGCATGTTGTCAAGGAACACCATTGACGAGTTGTGGCCTAGCTGAGCAGCTTGTGGAATTAGGGCTGCCCAAACACCATTCGCACCTCTCTGCACAGCCTCCACACTTGCAACATCTTGGTTTTGACTGCCAGCGTGGGCATGAACCAGGATGCGGTATTTCTCCTTTTCAGGGAAATGCTCGCGCAGGAACTTGGTCACAAGCCCATAGTCTTGATAGCCTGCCAAGCCACGCCCTTCTTCAAATAGAATTGCCACTACCCGGCGCCGAAAAACTTCACTTCTCTTCCAGGTTGAAAAGGCTTCCTCCATTCGCTGCTTGTGGCCAGCGATCATCTCCCCATTGGGCTTTAGATCAAGAAATTCCATGATGTCTACCAAGTTCAATGAGATTTCACCTTGTCCACCTTTTGTGTTGACTTCAGGGTCAGGGCGCCAAGGATCCCGAGGCAACTTCATCTTGTTAAAAACTTCATCCAATTCTTCGACCGCTTCTAGAACTGACTGCACAAAGTTGGCCTCGGCAAAGCGAACACTCGCCTTGAAGGTGAGGTCCAAAAACGCATTGGGCACGTTGAAGCGCTTGATGCTTTCCACACCAGCCTTGCGATCTTCTTTGTTCGGAGCAAACATCACGATCATACCTGTCATTTTTTCTTTCCTCGCCTCCATTTCCTCCAAGATCTGGGTCTCTGGTGTGTAGGAATCGCCATAGTATTGGCCACTAATCGCGATGTCTTTGAACCCCATCCTTTGAACGATCTTGAGCGTCAAATACTTCATGTACCCTGTGTGTCCAAAAGGTGTGTTCGTCGCAGGCTCACGAACTGTTTGGTCCATGACACATGGCTTCAAATTCCTGACTCTCTCATTCATGGCTGGACCAACCATTTCATGAGCCCCCAACTCTGGAGAAGGCGTCCGATCCAGCAGATAAAAAAAAATCCTCAGTCTTATCTATGATCTGACGCCACAGTCTATTCTCAGCTGCCATGAGGAATGTGGCAATCTCGGTTGCAGTCATGAGTCCAAAAACACTCTGTTTCAGTACTGGGTCGGCATTTTCTGACCTTGCCTTGGCACACCAATCTTGCAACAGCATATTTTGAGGGCCGTTATTCTGTTCGCAGCCCTGTTTGCAAATCTCATCGCAAGCCCTGCTGATCTGCAAACCCATCGGAATCGAGCTACCAGTACCTGTAGCTGACTTGCGGACCGATGAAGAAATTGCGTCCCAAGCCCTTCTCCAAAAGGGAATGTCACTTCCTGGCCAAGGCATGGGGTCACTGTGCAGGTGCACACATGATTATGCGAATACCAGCATATGGAAAAAGACAAGACAAATGATTCCACCAAAAGAAACAAAGTAGTTGAAAAGAGGAGTTGCAGATCGCTTCAGAACAGAAGCTGTCTGAACTTAGAGTCCTACTTCACTACACCAGCTGTGGCTTGTTCAAAATCATTGGCCGTATAATGCCGTTTTGTGGAGTCTGGCTATCTTAACGTTAACCACCACGTCATATCAGCCAAACCCAAACTTTCTAAACAACCTGGGATGACCTAGAATGCAACAACTGAATTGAAAGGAACAGTCCGTCCTCTGTTGTTGTCAGAATCTGATGATGATGAAGCCTGTCCTTAGCCCCAGCACCAAATCATGAGGCGCTGCTTTTAATCGGTTTGACATATTTTGAAATATCATGTGGCTTTACTCTCTGGAGCAAACCCGGATTGTTCAGTAGCTAAACCTGCTGACTCTGGCTGACCTGCTTTGGAAAGGTTGGGTGGAAATGCTCTCAACACATTGACACATACACACACACAGACACCATGGGGCCAGAAGCCAGGAGGTCATACGGGTGTAACAGGGTAATGCACATTCTGTTTTAGAGGGGCCCAGGGGCCCAAGCCCAATCCCAAACTGCAAAGAAACTTATCTGAAACCGAGCGAATATGGTTACAATAGTGTTGTTTAGTATTATTTACTGAGTTGATAAATTCGTCGATAAGTCCTGAAACTGCTTGTAGCCTAGCCACCAGTCTCGGAGTCAGACGTGCGTGACTCTGGTTCTGAGTCTGTGTCGTGGCCCTTGATTTCATCCTCTTGACCTACCCTGGTAAAAACGTTTACCATGCAGCCGCCTCCTTTCGGCTTGCAGCGAAACCACACTGAGATCACAATCACGAAGAGCATGAGGGCACCTGCTGCCAGACCGATCATCAGCGCAAATGTTGCAATGTGCGTGTTTGTCGATGTACTTGTGATGCTCGCTGCTGCTTTGGCAGCGTCAAAACTCAGGATAGAGACAGTCGCATCAGGTGTAATACCAACCAAGCTGAACTTTCCATTCGAATCCTCTTGCGTACGAACATCCCTGATGGGTCCAACGCTCTTCCCCTGCCACTGTGCCCACCCACGAGACTTCTCCCTGAAGAGAAATAGAACAGGTAAGAAATGGTCGTACTCCAATCTTCTGTCAGTGTAGCACGCCGCACCGCCCTGGGCCTGTAGCACGCGCAAATGTGCTGTCTTGGACAAGTTCTGTAATGCAAAGCCAGCCAAAGCAATGTCAGTAGCATTGTGAATCCACATGGCAGTCATGGTTTGAGACGTCTGCGTCTCCTGGTACTCTTTCCATATCAAATCACCATGGTTGGAAAATTTCATAAGAAAAATACCTGCTTGACTGGGAGCAGCAAGGGTGGCACTCCGTGTCTGTGTGCCTGCCACCAAGGCTTGGCCGACAGCATCCACATGCATCGCTTTGAAATGGTGCTGTAAATTGTCGCCACCCTCTCTCTGCACCCATAGCATGGTTGAATTTCCGAAATGCATCAGGAAAATGTCTTCTCTTGGAGGAACCGATCCCGATCGAACAAACTCTCCAGCAATGAAGGCCTTACCTTGAAAAACTTGCATTGCACCGCATTGGAGGACCTGCCCCACCCCTGGCCTTTCTTTTGCACTCCAGCGAGAACGGCCAGAAGAATCAAAGCTCGCAAGGAGAATTTGGTCCAAGTATCTGGAATCATATTCGTGATGCGAATGGAGAAGACCATACAGAATGCTGTTGCCGCCATCATCAATGTGCATGGCGCATACCTTCCACAAATTGCCTTGGTTAAACAACGCCCATTGGGCGATGCCCTGCCACTCCGAATGCCATCCTGGTCTTTCTTTCACCCTCTGGACATATAGGCCGGCTGTTGGACCTTCATCAGCAGTACCGGCGACCAAAGCATCTGACCCGGTCAGTCTCATGACGATGTCTGCTTTCGTGGTTCCATTTAATGTCATCTGTGTCATTTCTCCGTTAGCATCGACATGCATGAGAACAAGACTCGACCACTTCGACAATGTGCCCCTTCCAGCGAGAAAAATGTTATTCTCCCAGTGATCGGCTTGCATTGCAAAAACCTTCCGGCAATTGGAATCCTCTCTGGTTGTAACCCAGAGAGAGTTGGATTCAAAAGGCTTGAAATTCAGGACAAAGATTTCTTTCGTATAGAATCTGCAACTACGGACTTCCACGCGGCCAACCACCAGAACCCGTCCTCCAGTGAGGCTTTTCTGTGCGACATCCAGGCGGAGCCTTCCGGATGTATGGGGATTCAAGTGTGGGTCCCAAAGCGTAGTCCATTGTATTTCACTGTCCTGCTCGGGCGCCATCACTCCCTTGCTGGCAAGTGATTACATTTGGCTATGCAACAAAACTAGATGGGTCTATGTTCTTACGATGGTCAGAACTTAGTGACTTGGTGCAGTCATTCAAAGGTTTCCGATTTTACATGTCATAAGTCAGAATGTTACATATTGCAAATTCCGATGCTACCATGACAGGAAGAACTTGCAGCTGACCAGAGCTGTAATTGTGATCCAAACACTGCCATGCATTTCTCACATGTGCCTGTTGCAAGCCGCAAGAAACATAAAGCTGATGCCAATTTCAGATACATTCTAATTTCTCCAGAAATTCCAACTCGCACAGTGGTAATTCCCGGCTCGGAAAACCAATTAGCAGCAATTTGACAAAAAAACGGCAAAGGCAGCATGCTGAGGAACGCGCCAGGTCCTCTGGCCCTTGGGCTAGGAATTCCCAAGAAACCTTGAGAACGGTCTTTCGTGAACGCTGAGGCCGCATTTGGAATCCTGCTCATTCAATCAAACGAAGGAACATGTTAGATTTTTTTGACATGATACCATCAAGAATCACTCCAAGTGCTCAGAATGAAAATAATTATGGTTTCCTGATGCCAAAAAGCTGTACAATAGCACCTCCCAACTTGATCCAACTTCAGTTGTTGCACCATAATATGTACACAGTTTCAAATCTGACTTTGGTTAGTCTCTCCCTTTGATGTGAGCCATTTCGCAAAGACTTACGCCTCTCCAAGAAGTGTTGTGGTATCTCCACTTTGCAACCTCTGTAGATCCACCAAACTGTTTCCATCGGTGTCAGTAGGGCTGCTGTGGGCAAAGTCCGTGGCAACCTCCACAGATGGGATTCTCTTAACTTTAGGGGAGTATGCAAACCACATCTTCGCCGACGAGACCGACAAATTCAGTATACACCAAAATTGAAAGAAGTCTAAAGATGTGTACAGCTTTGCTTGACAATGTCCACGCTACGAACTTGAGGGAAGTTCAGGGCAAAGTCATAACCTGCCAAAATGCCACCCACTGCAGAGGCTTGGCACCGTGGTATCGTTCATCACAATCCAGCAGTGGTGGTCTCCATCAAGGCTACGTCCAGAAAGTTAACCTGCGCCGTGTCCAGCTCAAACAACAGAAGCAATGCATTCGTGGCTGCAATCTCTCGCTTCCGGAGCGATGCTGCCTATTGCACCGTCTACCATTGATTCATCGAAGGTATGTACCGTCGAAAACCCCCATGGCAAGCTACACCACTTTTACATGCGTTTACCATTTGGACAGACTCTGGCTGCATATGAGTATTTCTGACGATACCCACTGGAGTACAAAATGGTTTTTTACGGCGTGAAAACAAATTGCGCAAGGCCGTATCGTTTCATGTTGCATCATGTACGTAACACTTCACATCATATCGCAACTAACAGGTCGTCCACTAATGATATGAATCTCTGCGGTGGCCCTCAATCACGTGAAGCAAGGTAAAGTAAGGGAAAGCAAATGAAAGGAAGCTGTCGGTCATGTTGAAAATTACTGATTGTTATCTTTCTATACAATTCCGTTGCACCAACTCTATTCACAATCGTCTCATATATAAACCACTTAACGCCGTGATTAACTTGTGATGAATCGTCAATCTCTGGCCTCACCCAGGAGGCAGCTGCATTGGTTTTGAAGTACTGGCGAAGAGACATAGAACTCCTGCGAGAAGGGATCTCTCAACACTAGATTGGAACCAATTCCTGTAGAGAAAAATTGCACAGCAAACAAAAATGTAATAAAAATGAATACAATATCAACAATTACTTAGCTAGATTTAAAAGCGTTACTCTAGATGTACTAAGAATTAATCAAGATGGGAACGTTTATGTATCATATGAACATAATATATTGCTTATGAATACACATTATGTTACATTATGTTGCGATTACAAGCGAATATATGACGTTTATATACATAACATGTACACACGTTGATAAGCTACCTAAGGATTTGATTGATTTGACAAAAATATTGCACATAATGAATCATAATACACTAAATCAAATAGAAACACTCATGATACATGAGTTCAAGCCACAATGATAGTGGCTAATAATGATTATTGGACATAAACAATTGTTATTTAATGATGTTATGGCATGGTCCGTGGTAATTCTTCAGAGTAATTTCTGATAGAGTCGAGTCAGAAGTGAATTACTAATAACTAATAATGATCAACCTGAGAAGGGGGGG